TAAAACTAGCAAAATAAGAAAGCAGAATGTCCAAAAACTGAAGTAAATTTTAAATTGCATCATAATACTGTCACTAAGAGATTGTAATTTTTAAACATGACCTGCAAAAAGCATTCCAACTATAATTTTAGATAATTCCTAGAAACCAACTATTCCAGCTAAAGCATGTGAATTTATGATCTTAGTGAAAAAAACCCCCAAACACAAAACCAACCAACCAACCAACCAAATTAACAAACCCCACAAAAGAGGACAGATAGTTTATGCTTTCAGAAAGATGAACAAATTAATCCAAAATTTTACCCAGACCTACATTGTTTACAGCATCAAAACATTAATGCTGGTATATTGCCTGGTGGTTTTGCGTCTGTGGAATAGCTATCATGAATTTTACCCCAGTAAGTTAATATGATGTCTAGAGCATCACATGTTTTGCAGAGTGTCTGATATGTTAAGACAAAAAAATGAAGAGGTCAATAAAGTAAATAAAAACCTAGACTTCCCTGCCAAAGAATTATAGCTCACAGCTTTAATAAAGAGATACTAAGAAATAAAGTGAAATATATATTTTTATATACTCAAGCATTACAAAAAATTACAAACATTACAAACAATTACAAGCATTACAAACAAAATGAGCTCAGGCCTCAAACCTTTCACTTGGAGCTATGTTCTTCACAAGGCAGAAAAAGACACATTCCTAGAATTTGGTACTAAAACACTGTCCTGGAGAAAAAGAAAGAAAAAATTAACAGAGTATTGATACTATTCTGTTCAATAGTAAGTCATTTAACTACCAGGCTCTCAGCTGAGAACACAGCTTGGAAGCTAATTCAGATGTGGATGAATATCAGTTTCCTCAAGAAGAGGGACTGAGAGGCCTGGCAAAAATATTTACCCTGCGCAATCCAAGTGTGTGGACATGAACCTCATGTGGTAGAGCCTCTGAAAAATCATGTCCCCAGCTGCATGTCTGCTGGAAATAGCCAGAAAAGTAAAACAGAAAATGAAAAATGAGAATATTGCAGCCAAATGACTGTTCAGTTGACACAGAGGAAAAACGAAGATGAGTGCAGGGAGTTGAGTAAGAGCTGTTCGAGAAATTGTCACCCCAAGAGCAGGATTTGAATATCCCCATAGCAGATGGTCCATGTGTCCATCCTTGGTGTGTGCAGGGACACACAGCACCTCCCAAGCACTCTGGCAGAGACACCCTGAGTGTCTGTGCTGAGCAGTGGCCTGAGCCCGAGGGCAGGAGTGATGTAAGAAAAAAGAGGCAAAGACGTTGATCAGTGTTTGAGCTTTGAGATGAACTCTGTGCTTATCTTGTCGGTTTACAATCTGTGGTGTAGATATGTCTGTGTTACGTGATGCGGCAACCAGAGAAGCCTGCAGACTATGTCACCTGAGACAGTGCTCTAGAAAGAGGATGTTTGGAAAAGGTAAGAAACCAAAACTTCTTTTAAAAAGAATTTTTAAAAAATTGTTCACTGGATGTGACTGAAGCAGCAAAGCCATGATAACTGCACCACCTACAATTGACTTCTTATTCAGAGCAGTCCAGAATTCAGAAATATGGTAACTGAAAAAAAAAAAGAGCTTATTAGCTGTTACAGATCTCAAGGGCCATTAAAATAACAGTTTTGAGAAAAGAATTAAAGAGAAACAAAGTATAAACAAAACAAACCAAGGATTTAAAAGTATTTCCATCTCAAAATATGTAACTTCCAAGACCCAGATCACAGGGGAGAAGCTTCCGCTTCTGGATACTGAACGGTGAAGATAGCGTAAGCATTTCAAATGATGTTGAATATAGAGGCAGCCAGCTTGAGGATATATCAGGACAATCTGAAAACAAAAGTTTGTCTCATTGCTTATTGAAAATACACAGCATCCCCAGTGCATTTTTCCACAGGCAGAAACTGTCTTCTCATTATAAATGACACGTCTATTTGCAGTGAGATTATGCTCTGCGTCTGGGGATAATCGTATTGCTTTATCCTGCTGCCACAGTTATCAAACAGAAAGGCTGAACTGGAAGATAAACTTGTTGTTATTTTTAGGTTTACAGAATGTATTTGAAAAAAAGAAAAAAAGTCAGGCCAGTCTGGAGCAATATTCCTCAAGGAGTATCAGTAGCATCTTGGTATAACCGTGCATGTTCCTTGGTTCCTGTGGAGCAGCACCATGAAACTCTGCAGCGATAGAAGTGGGATGAGAAGCATGCAAAGGCAAACAGTGGCAGTGGAGGAGAGGCAGGAGGGCTCCCACAGCAGGGTGAAACTTTGAGTGTCAGAGAAAATCATGAATTTGAGGCAAGGCACAAAGGCAGCCATGGAAGATAGTGCAACACAGGCTGTTGGTGGGACAGGTAACTCAGCCCAGGTAAAGCTCCATTGACTGCACCTGATGTCACTTAAAGGTTGTCATCACTGAAAGATGACACCAAAGAGCAAAAGGGAGACTGATGGAAGCACTGACTAAAGAACCCTCTTTGAACCCTCTTTGTGTGCTGGTGAAACGATGCAAGTAAGGAGCCTGACCTGGAGACTGCTCTGTGACAGGTGACATCCAGGTGTTCCTGCTGCCAGCCCCCGCCCTGCGGCAGAGCCTGGCAGCGGGACAGCAGCGGGCAGCCCCTGCAGGGACAGCTGCTTCCCAAGGGTGCTGCTCTGCGGGCTTTGCACAGCCCTCTCCAGAGCAGGAGCCTCAGTGCAAGAAGCCTTTTATAGCTCCAGGCCTTTTTTAGTCCTCAGTTTCTTGTTGTACATGGTTGCTGAAGAACGGCTGAAATCTCTCTGTGCCTGTGGTCTGCCAGACTGTCCTTCCAAGTACAATTTTGCAGATGATATTGAATTAATTTAACCTATAGGCTCATGTAAATTGGTAATATACATAATTTATTTTAAAAATTCATAATCCTTTTTCTAAGTGGTCAACATCAAGTACTTGTAAGGAAAATAAAGGAAATTTTCCAAATACTTGCTAGTTAAGTCATAAAATATATGGTTTAAATCTCTTTCTAAATATATTGTAACCTATCTCAGATGTTATATAGAAATACAAATTAAATAGCAGATCGTCAAATATTATTTCTTTCCTATGTTTTTGACTTTGTCTTGCCTAGTGTTCAACTTCCATGACATATCACAGAAACACTAGTAGTAATGCTGTAGCACAAGAGTCTAGAGAAATAAGTAATGGAAGGCTTTGCCTACAAGTAGTTAAACATGTATGATTTTCTTGAACTTCATTTTTTGTGTGCATTATGATGAAATTACCTATTAATATAGCATAAAGAAGAAATGTTCCATTTTCTCTAATGAAGAAAATTAAAAATCAATTTCCAAGCCATCACATTTAGAAAAGTAATTTTAAAAGCAAAAAATAATTTTGAATTGTGTAAGAAATCAATTAATGTTTTAGAGCACACAGTAGTCAAGGGTGATTTGTTCAGCAAATTCAACTCAGTTTTTTAATGCAGCTTGTATTTTATTTGTCCTGACCTTACTATCTCCATTTTTATTGTAGCACAGTAGGAAAATCCATGAAGACCTAATGTTTCTTACTGAGGTTTTTATTACTGATTTACTGTGCTCCCTTCTCCTCTGTACTAACATCTCATTTGAATCTGCTGGGTTGCCCTCCCAGTACAGTGCCCTCAGTTCAGATTCCTGAATTTGGTGCTGGCTACCAGGCCCCCTCTGTGGGAGTCTGTTTCTGTGGAGGGTGTTTTGCTTCTTTGTCCCACACAATCTGAGCCACAACATGGGGCAATGGTGCTCTGACTATGGTGCCAGAGAACCACACAGGCAAATGTCTCAAGTGCTCTACAAAAATCCACAAAGTCTTCCTTTAGAGGTGATAATATAACATGAGAAAGTAAGATCACAGGTATTTTATAAACAAGTAAACTAAGGACATGGAGGCTAAATCACTTTCTGAGGGCCATACGTATATGCAGAGCCAGAAATAACAGTGAAATACATTAGGCTTTTGAAAGTCTATGTACTAGACTATCAGGTAGATTTTGTTTCTCTCACTACTCAGTAGTCTTTAATAAATCCTTAATTTGCATAACTATAATGACCTTCCTGAAAACACAGAAACTTCCCAGTTTCCAGAAAGCAAAAACTGATTCACCTTTTCTCTCCTTAACAAAGGAAACAAAGTTTTTCATGCATGGGATCTCTGAGGATCAAACTCAAAAATATCTCTGTATTATCAGCCCTGTGTTCAGAACAAATCCAAAACTGCCCTATATCAGCTACTGTGAAGAAAATGAACTCTATCCCAGACAAAACCAACAAAATATTTTATTAAGCTTGGCTGGTACTGAAATTCAGAGTAGGGCAGCCACGTACTTAAAAAAAAAAAATCAGGGAAAACCTGTTTGTTTTAACAAAAATACCTTGGTGGCATTTTTTTTTTTTCAGTCTGCCATTGAAATAGGAAAATGCAGATAGCCCAACCTCCTTTTCTATACTTCCCTGGTGCAGCTGGTAAGCTCTGAGGGATACCAGCAATATTTGAAATGGTGGAGCACCATTTCTTCTGAATTGGTGGAGCAGAGCCATCTTTTGCCACCTTTGTTATTATATATTTCTCACTCTCACCACGCAGAGTGAGAAATATCTAATAGGTAAGGAGCGACTCAAAGACCCCTCAACAGCTGCTGAGCTGTTCAGTCAGTTTGGCTCCGGGAATCCAGAGCCAGTGTTGGATCAGATGTACAAAGAGCCTGTGAGCAGAGTTACATAAAAGTAACTATAAGGCTATAAAAGTGGTATGAAAGGAGATTGAGCAAAACAAATCAGATGCCACACACACGATTTGCTTGCTGCTGCTGATGTCTCTGTAACATCACAGGCTATCTCTAAGCTATATTTTCCACTGCCTTGCTGGCTTGCAAAACTTTTAATGGAACAAGTTTTTCTGGCAGAAGAACACTGATTTTTATCTTTAATGAGCAGCCTCTCTATCATTTAGCTTCAGGAAACAGCTTCCTGGTTGTAAACTGCTTGAGACTGCTGACAGCCAGGTAACTTCAAAAGCAGCCAGGAGCGACTTTCTTGCTAACTTTGGGAAGGAATTCAAAAATGCTGAAAGGTGCAGATGATTCTGTTATGGAGCAGGAGGACTCTGCTTCCCGACATGGAGAAATGACGAGTTGGGATATCAATGACATCAAACTTCCTCAGGTATGTGCCTGTGTCGTAGAAATTTATTTCGTTCTGACCAGTCATCTCCACCACTGATCTTAAATGCTTTCTCAGTCATCTGTGACTCATTGCCTTTATTCTCATTGTCACCTCGAGGTGTGGGGGAATTTTGCTAAAAAATATTGAGAAAATATTGGCATTTCCACGCATTTCTCCTTAAATGTATTATTGAAAGGGTTGTTGACGCATGAAAAATAGCAACGCTGCAAAGGCATTGTTTTCATTGGTGGATTAGGAGCAGAGAAAGCAGAGGAAAAAAAGTGCCTCCTGCTATGGGCAATTAATTAGAGCTGTCCAGGTCTTGCTTTTTGCCCTGGGTGGTGTTTTTTGAAAGGGAGCACAGCACCCACCACTGCCTTGCTACTATGGGTGTTCAGTCTCATTGCAGTTTGGGCTCCAGCTCCAGAGCTGTCTTCTCACATGGAAGCAAGTATTTTCAGGAGCACCTAGGGAATCCTTGCTTTATGTTTGCAGAGGTTTGCTGAGAGGCACAATAGTCATCTTGCCCTCCCTCTGTCCTTTTCTAGTTCTCTTACTGAAAGTTTCAACCCTGCTCTCCAGTGAAAGCCCACACACCCTGCACACCAATGTCACCTCCCTGTCCCTCAGCTCTGCATATTTCTACCAGATTCCTCCTGCTGCAGTCCTTCAGCATCCAGCTCTGCCTTTCAACTCCCAGCCCTGCCTTCTTACTGGATCCCAGCCTCCTCCCTACTATAACAGTGCTGTTTGCCCAAAGCAATGTCCCCTGCCCTTCAGTCCAAGGTCACCTTCACCTGCATTTCAGTCTGGAGACATCATGGACACCCTTCCCTACACTACCCAGTGGCTACCAGGGGAGCATGGGAATTTTTCTCTTCTTGGTTGTTGTTCTTACTGCTGTTAGGGCTCTCAGTCCTGGGATTAGCAATTTAAAGAAAATTTCTACTAAGCTTTTGTATCCCTTATTTTAAGAACTTTTCCCTCAAAATGATCATCAGGTATGGTAGATGTTTTAGAGCTTACTGCATTTCACTGTATTGAGTGTACCAACTGGTGTACACTGATATGATGTGTATTTGGGTCTTTGGGGTTTTTTTCCAGTTTTATTTTTATTGCTCCTTACTCTGTTGTCCTTGAGGCTTGTTGTTTGTTTATGGGGGTTTTTTGTTGGTTTTTCTATGTTTTTGTTTTGTTTTATTTTTGTTTGTTTGTTTGTTTGGAGGTTTTGGGGGGTTTTGGGGGGGGTTTTAGTATTTTTTATTATTTTTGATTGGTTGGTTGGGTGAATGAGAACAAGCTCCTAGCCAGGCCTTCCTGATGCTCTGGGGCCTGCGGGGAGCCACAGAGATCTGTGTTTTTCCTGCCTTATCTCCACTGCTCCCTCCTGACAACCAGCATCACCTGCCGGGGTGCTAGAGTCACCAAGGCTAGAGGAAACCCGGAGAGGTCCAGCTCTGCTCAGCTCCTGGACAAGCTTTTCTCTTTCCCAGCATAAAATACGGCTTGCTTTGCTTTTTCCACAGCATGTGAGCCAGACAGACTGGTTTCAAGAATGGCCAGATTCCTACGTAAAACATATCTATAGCTCAGAGGATAAAAATGCTCAGAGGCACCACAGCAGCTGGGCAATGAGAAACACCAACAACCACAACTCTCGCATCTTAAAAAAGTCCTGCCTTGGGGTGGTGGTTTGTGGTAACAACTGCTCTACCTTGGATGGGAGGAAGATCTACCTAAGACCAGCCATATGTGATAAAGCCAGGCAAAAACAACAGCGTGAGTACAAACGTGGCAGTTCATTGTATGGCAGTTCATAAGTGAACACAACAGAGTAGAAATCCAAGTATAGGATACCCTTTGGATTACCCAGCCTTCCTTCTGCCATTCCTTGTATTCCAATGCAATTCTTGATTTGGAACATTGCATTTTACTCTTCTTATTGTTGGGGCATAGTCAGCTGCTTGTTTATTTTATTTTTTTTTCCCTAAACTTTTTAAAATCTCTATTTCTGCTGGTTAGGGATTGGTTCCCAGCCTTCTCAGGCCCATTAGTGAGGGTGCTGAGAAAGCTGTGCAGTGCATGCAGTTCCTGCACTGCCCTGCTGTTCCTGCCCACCTACGCGTCGACTTCATTATTGCACTGGCCCAAGAGTAACTCAGGAGGCAAGTCTTGCAGCAAAGAAGTTGCTCATAAACTGTGATGACTGGAAAATAGGCCCCACAGTCACGTCACTGGAGCCAGACAATGCAAACAGAGAACATGAGCTGCACACATATTTTTAACAAGACCATTCCAAACAATTGTGATTGCTCAGTAGAGCTAGCACGTACTGATTTCTAGATCTGATGTACATTTTAGCTAAAGAAAGATATAACTCAGGTGCTCACTGAAGCCAGAACAGTGTTCTCTAGAAACATTTATGACATTCCAAAGTCTGACAAGAGAAAAACTAAAACTGACCATGATAATAAATGACAAAATTGGGATAAAATTGTAATAACATTTTAATATAAATAATTTTTGAAGGTTATATTTAATAACAGACAGAATAAAGTCAATGATCAGTTTGTTTGTATTGATTTTTGCTTATGTTTGGAAGTTTTTCACATAGTTTCTCTCAGTGTAATTTCTGAGCACCAAACCAGAAGTGGCAATCTGCCACCAATGAACCAGGTATCACAAGTATAGAAAATGTTTCCCCCTATTTTTGCTCCAGGGAAATGCTGTCCAAACTGCAGTGGACCACTGCGGCTCCTTTCCTGCCGAGGCCACGGTGGTTACCCAGTTACCAACTTCTGGAGGCATGAAGGCCAATTCATATTTTTCCAGGTTGGTATAAAATTACTTAACATTATGTAAGTTAATTTTAAAGACTGATATTTAAAGTTTTATTTAGCTTTTTTGTCTTTCTTTTCTCCCATCAAATAGAGGTTATTGAACATGACAAGGTCAAATGAGTAAGGAGAAAAAAATTTCACAAGGTCCTAAGCAACCTGATCTAACTCAAGTTAGTCCTGCCTGAGCAGGAGGTTGAGCTAGAGGGCCCTTCCAGCCTAAATTAGTCTATGCTACAATGATTTTACAGCACAGTGTATTTTTTATTTAGGCTTCTGTGAAAACTTGTTGATTTTGAAGTGTTTTGCCTCAGGTACATAGGAACCAACAAATCCTCAGAAGTCAGAAATACCATATTATCTCTTCTCTTTCTCCAAGGCACTACACATAATCGTGAGGGAATCTTGGAAGAGGAAATGGTTGTACCCTAGGGACCGTCTATGGAAAATGCCATCTAGGCATTATATGTAACTTATATCTGGAACACAGTGTATGAAAGTGTTTAAATAATGGGCACTATTTCTGGAAGCTGTAGTCCTGGTTTAGTAACATAACCATTTTCCTGTTTTCCACTCTTTCACTTATGTGCAGGCTAAATAAAATTAATTATCTATGGAAGCTAATGGAAATTAATATTCAGATAAATATATCTAAACTGTAAGAAGAATTAAAGTGACTGCAGGGACACTGTAGCCAAGCTGCAGAAGACCTTTTGGCTTCAGTTGGGGCTCTTTGGGGGGACTGTTTTCTACAAATAAATGTGGTGCACTGATTTTATGATTTCAGAGGGTTTCTACTCCATCCCACTTCATCTGGGATATGTTTATTATTTCACCTCACAGTAACTAAATCCTATTAAATACAAAGCATTAAATTAGGCCATAATATGTGATTTTGGCCTGTGGTATAAATTCTGTTCCCTTAAGATTATTAACAAGGTTGGTTCTACCTTTAATATACCATAATTACTTTCTAAAGTCCAAAGGAGCTCACGACCACCCACGTCCAGAAACAAAACTAGAAGCAGAAGCAAGAAGATCAATCCAAAAAGCAAAGACAGCTTTTTCTTCATCTTCTCTAAGACTAAAAAGAGTCCAGGAGATTGAGGTAACTCTTGCTGCTGTTGCTCAACAAAATTTTGGTCAAGCGATCTGTGGTTCAAGGCATGGTGGAGGCTGACTGGGCTTTGGGTCGGGGTGGGAGCAGGGTGTACATCTCCACATTCTGCATGCCCATGATCAGGATAAGAAGGACCAGGGATGTCCTGAGCATCCTGCTCTCCTTAGCGCTGTCATCCACTGCCAGCACCTCCTCTCCAGAGCAAATTTGCACCTGGTGGCAGCAGGAGATTGCATCTACACTGGTAAACAAAGCAGGGCTGCAGGGCAGGATAAGTTTCGTCACCATTCACGTGGAACTTTCTGTGCATAAGTTTCTGCCCATTGCCTCTTGTCCTATTTCTTGGCACTACCAAGAAAGGTGAAGGCACGCTCCACCTCTGCTTGTTCCCCTTGAGTTTCGGCAAGAAAGGGTGAAGGTGCATAACCTGTACCTCATTTGCCTGGTTTGAAGGCAGAAGAGTGCTTTGAAGAACTTTCTGAAGCATTGATGGTAAAACACCAGCTGTGATGGGTGTGGAAACACTTGTGAAAGCATCTCCAGAGATCCTTGGGACTGCTGCATAACTGATGGAGGGAATCCCAGTGACTTTCATTGCAAAGGCTGTGTTAAACTCAGTTGTCATCACCAGTACTCACATGCAGTGTCTCTTGATATATTAGGGGTGGTGCATTCCCCCAACCTGGTGTTAGAGGTAGTAATCCATGCTCTTTCAGCCACAGACAGAAGGGATATTGCTCTGGGTGGGGACAGATTTCTTATGTGGATGACATGGAGAAGCAAGGGGATCTGGGAACCCAAGAAGCAGATAAAATGTGCACACAGGAAGTTAAACCCATTTGAATAGAACGTGAATTTAGAAGCTGCAGCTATTTCTACTGGAAATACTCAGGAGGACACTAAAAACCAGAACCTCTTGACACAAATGCCTGGGAACAAAAGTATGAGAAAAACCAGCTGATCTAATTGTCCAACAAATACAGCAACAATGCTTTTCCTATCACTGGTTTACTTCTGTTTCCATGAACACTGAAATAGTTTCCACCTAGGAAATATGACTGAGCCACACAGCTTTCTTTCTTTTATAACTGAGCCTACTGGTCAGCCTACTTGCTTAGGTCAAGCTTCCTGTAGGCATGTCTTCATCTTTCCCTTCCTAAAGCATCTTCCTGAGACTTTCACTTTCAATTGTGTGGGATTAGAAACAGACTAAAGATGTCACAAATGTCTAATAGTAGAGCCTGCTCTTCAGCTGTTCTGATTCTGTACAGTCAGACTTAGGCCATTTATCCTCATTGGCTTTCCAGTTCACAGCTCTCCAGCAGGTTTTCCTTGGGCATAACCCATCATATTCCTGTTTTGCCAAACTAGCTGTGATACAGCTAACTCTGGAGTCTGATTTGTCACACAGAACCTGTGTCTATCAATCTGCAAAAATATATTCCAAAAAGATTCTGTTTTAATGTGTTCAACCTGGAAAATGTATTCTGAAAAGAATCAGTTTTAATGTGTTCACAAGAAATCAGGGAGGAGAACTTCAGAAAAAGGTGAGACCAAAACTGAGCAAGTGATTTATAGGATGGTCTCTCTATGGCATCGGTGGCAGGTCTGTAGCTGAGGGTGGGCTGGGTCCTACACCAAATTGTTGGAATTTTTTCTCATGAGTGGAGAACAACTGAAAGGCGCTTTGTTGCTCCAGCAGTCTGCAAAACCACTATAATTAAATGAATGAAAAAGCAGAATTATAAAGAAGAAAGACCTGCAAGCACTCATTTGAAATGAGTGTTCTGAAAGGAGTTAAAGTTTCTATAATTATAATCCAATAATTGGAGCAATTAAAGAAGTTGTGAAATATCCAGAAGATCCAGAAGAATAATTCTTGTGTGCTGATCCCTACCTGAATGAAATTTCTATTTGTGGGGTAAAAAAATGTAAAGATAGGAAAATTTATTAGTTAGAAATAGACTCTAAAAAAGATGAAGAAGAATATTTTTGTAGTGAAAAGATCACTTCAAAACAGTCAGTATTAAAAAAATCATACTCAGCTTTTCCAATCTCCATAGGAAAAAAAAAATCTGTGGTGTGAAATGTATTAGCATAATTTCATTTTTAGGTCCTTCTTCAGTATATGCTGGCAGTGGACCCAAAGGGCTGTGAATGCAAAGTCTAAACAACTCTTTCAGTGCAAAACGGTCTTTGGGCAAAAACTGGTGCAACAAACGCAGAGCCAAGAGCTGGGAGCCTTGTTCAGTTTGCCCCTCCAGCCCATGGGCACTCCCGCTATAGTGGCAGAGGCTCTGCTATGCCATCTGCTTTGTTACCTGTGTTCACAGAACCACAGAATGGTCATGGTTGGAAGAGACATCTAAGATCATCAAACCCAACCATCGTGTTAGTTGAGTGCCTTTGTAAGCAGCTCACAGAGGAGAGGTGCTATGCCACACCTTGTTTTACTAACCCATGCCTTGCTTTCCCAAGTCTCTGGCAGGTGCAATGCCGACACAGGAGCCTTTGCCTTTGCTTCTTTCCAGCCCGGATGCTCACATGCCACCTGCTAATTTCAGGGGACATTTAAGCAAAAGCTCCCAGGAGCCAACGCTGAGCAGCTGCTCTGGGCATCTTCCATACCCAAGGACAGCTGGGGAGGATGAGGCCTCCAGGGAGCCACCAACCTGGAGCCGAAGGCTGTCCCTCAGGGGGACCCCCAGAGCTGAGAGGCTGCGCAGTGTCCTTGCTGTGCCCAGCACAGCCCCCTCTCCCCAGCAGTGCACCCACCTCAGCACCCAGCACGTGGCAGATGGTGGCCATGACCCCTTCAGGTCTGATGTGGGCTCTTTGGGAGATGGATCCTGTGGGGTGAAATCCCCGCTGGCCTACAGCAGCGTCTGCCTCTGTCTGCCGCCCCACCCCGCGCCTCAGGGAGGGCCCTGCCCCATGGCGAGTGCGGCACAGCCTCACCCACAGCCCTCGCTGCCTCCAAGGGGAAGCGGAGGAGACAGGGGTGGGGGAGGCCACCAAGTCTGTCTCAACTACTGCAACAACGACATGTTTTTTAACCTGTACCCATTACGGTGACTGGGTTCAAATGTCCCTGCTCGCCCCTCCTCTGGCAATGGGTCCAATTCTCCACCCCTGTGGCAACACAGACCTTAAGAGTGCTACCACAACAGGTCTCACTTTAGCTCCTCTTGCAGGCCCCAGAAGGGGCTTTCGTACCTGAAGGCTTGTCTTTGTTCCTTTTTATTTAACAGTTTTATTTCCCACCACTGTTTCATGGATCTAATAAAAGCTATCAGCTCCTCTTACAGACTGCCTCACTGCCATTCTGGTTTGGTAGCATTTCAACCCTCCTAGATACACAGCGTGTTCAAGCCTGTGGGACTGTGGAAGGTGCGGGTGGATGATCTCAAGGACCACAGCTATCATGTGCAACCTTCTGCACTCTTCGGTCAGTCCCTCTTCAGACCTAAGTCCCTGCACTGCACCAGCCTTGCATTTGTGTTGTATAGAGCTGGATGCAGGCCTTCACATGGGATCTCGTGAGAATGGAGTAGATGGGGAGAATCCTCCTCCTCCACCTGTGGCCACATTCCTTTTGATGCAGCCCAGGATACATTTGGGCTTCTGAGCTGCATATGCACACTGCCAGGTCATGTCCAATACACCAACTGCCCTAAGTCCTTGTCTGCAGGGCTGGACCCACTTTTGTGTATGTATATATTCAAGGTGCTTTGCTGCTTTTTCCAGGAACTTTTAATTTCTTTCATTGCAGACTGTAAAGAACCCTTCAGTATCTGTTCCACACATCATCCCCTTTGCTGACCACTACCATAAGCTGTATTTCATCAGGACCCATCAGTTCTCTACATTTGTTTAAAAAACTAGGGTGCCAAATAGGAATTTTCTTGCCTGAACTTAGTGGCTCAGACACTTTTGGCAAAGATTCCTTTATGTTTTCCCATAACTGACATCTGCTTGGCTTTGCTGCATGACCAGCCTCTGCTGCTCTCTGGGTTTCAGGGACCACCTCCCCTGCAGAGGCAAGCACTGACACACTGCTGCCTGCTGCCATCTCTGCAAGAAAGAGCTGAGGGATGTCTTCTACAACATATGGAGCCACATTGTCTGGGAGGACAGTATTACAAAACAAGTGTCAAAAAACTTCATAGTACCTCAGAATGGGATGTATCACGTGTTGATGAAATAGGTTCAGTCTTAGTGCTTTTTGTTCCCCCTAGTTTTTATATTAGTTGCTAGGGACACCACTCTCCTGGTGACGGGTGTAGTTCAGAGACATTTACAAGACAAGAATGAATTGTATTTATAGCGTGTTTCAAAATGTTTATTGGAATTTGTGAAACAGGATGCACAGTGATTTAAGTGGAAAAAATCTAAATGTAGATCACAAAATAACAGTGTACAATTGTACATGAAGGTCAACTCACCAAACTTTTTTTAGTCATTGAGTTAGTCCCACACTAATTCCAAACTTGGCATGTTTTATGATTTTTCAGATCATTAACTCAAAGAAAGAAACTTTGATCAACATTTGTAACAACCTCTACGACACAAAAAGAGAAATTAATAGGAGCCATGAACACTTGTGCTTCAGGAGGTGACCCGCAGGACTAGGGACAGGCAAGGCCACCGGGGCTGGTATCCCATAGCTGGGATTCCTCAATCCAGTCACACAGGGACCGCACAGGGCATGGGCCCTGCCACAGCCATCTGGCTCTGTCTCATCTTGTCTCTCCTCTGAATTCCTTTCCTCTTCACTGCAATGCTGCCAGCACCACCTCTCAGCAGCAGTGCCATTCAGATGTGTGGCTGGGAGGCTCCTTGGTAATTGTTTCCACACCAAAGTTCTATCAGTTCCCCTTACACTCACCAATCACTTCCTCTATTTTTACAAACTTCCAGCAAAGGGGATTTGATACCAATCCTGTTCCACGTTTCTCTGTTCCAATCCCAGCTGTTAGCATTTTTTC